ACAACAGCTCACGACAGGCCGTGGTGGAGCTACGCTTATAATATCACAGCTAACGGCCGTTGTTCAACAGACATTTCTTTATGAATACAAGAAGTAGTTCCAGCAGGCTGCTGGTAGGCTACGTGACGGTTGCTAAGCGACACACATCAAAGGCTAGAAACATTAGAGCTATTTATTTATTTATATCTATTTGCACGTTGCCGTTTGTTGTGCAGCCACTAAAAACTGTCCAGCGTCAGGAGATTGACTTTGGTAACTTGAACATACAATATTCCTGCTGCTGTGTGCCGGCGGCCAGCAGAGCGTAAAATAATAACACTTTAATATCATAAAGATCATAAAGGGCGGAGTTGCGTCTCTCCTTGAACAAAAGTCTTTGAACAGGCTGCTGAAGTTTGTTGTAACATCGCAGACATCTGGGGCGAGTGGTGGCTGCTGAGTGTGTTTTCTCTCTGTCTCTCCTTATTAATTATTTATCTCAGCCGGTAACATTAGTTAGTGTATTAGACCGTATTTACACCTGCTAATAAACAAATGAACTATAACTGGAACACTGTTTGTGACGGAGTGATACGGATCTGTGCAAAGTAATTCGACGTTCATTATATCACTACTGTGAACCAATCAGATTGCTTGATTTGAGCTACCCGTTTTATAAATCATTTTTATTTCCCCCTAAACATTTAGCCTAATAAATCAAAGGACACTGTGATCACATTCTGGGTTATTCAATAATTAATACTCAATGACATCAATAAAAACAGATGATCAATAAATAAACACTTTCTGCCAGTTGAAATGATCCTGAACCTCTTAGCAGGACACAGTATAACAACACGTTCTCATCTCATCAAACAGGCTACCTACGCTTTGAGAAAGCCTCTTTGGCGCCCTGGATGAGATCAGGCAGTCCGACACTAAACAGTTGAAAGCAGAAAATCTCTCTGAGCCGTACTGCAGCAGCTCCGGCTCTACTCTGAACACTTCAACAACAACAAGACCAAAACCTTTCAAGTCTGTTTTATTTCCAAATCAGTACAAAAGTGTGAAAATCTTCTTCTTTTAGCTTGTCAACAAACAGGCAGCCTTACGTGGAAGTTTTAGATTTTACGCCGGTTGGTTCGTTGAAGAGGTCGTCCTGTTGGGATCATGATGGGGTCATCTCAGATCTCCTGAAACAGTCAGAGACAGAAGGGGAACAGTCAGTGTTTGACTTCTGCGTAGGCTACGTGCTGCTGCGAGCATTTATCTTTGTGCGTTGATGTCTGCGTCGCTCTGCGATTACTCTGACTGAAGGTGAGCTGATCACGTTGGAGCCGGAGCTGATCGATGTTGAACACTTTTAGTGAAATTGCTAAAACGCAAAAACAAGAGAAGGCGTCGGGGGAGATGCTGTGTACGACCCTTGAACCGGTCGAGGCAGAAGAAGAAGGACGAGCCTGAAATGCGAAGGAGGAAATGCAACACTGACAAGCTGACCAATCACAGGTCTTGTGGTCTGCATCGCCATGACGTGTAGTTACATTTTTGGGGAGGGTTGCGTCAGGCTACAGCTAGATAAGACACAGAAATATAAAGTGGGCTTCAGCGTTGTTGTACGTGTGATGCATTCACTCGCTCAGTTTTTTCTGAAGGCTGGAACAGTTACGCTAATTAAAAAGTATGTTTGGTTTGGGTGTCAATTTGTGTGTAAAATGTGCAGGATGTTGTTCTGTATGTTCATGATGTTTATATGTGAGGTAATGTAGGTATAGATGGTGGAAACTAATTTCCTGAAAAGGACAATAAAGAATCTAATCTAAATTAGAGGCAAAATGTACGTAAAGTTTTGAAGTAAAAGCTCTCAACTTGCAGCAGACTGTTCTTTGCTGAACAATATTATATGTGATATTACTTGAGTATTCTCAGCCTGTTCTCATTCCCAGAGCACAAATAGCTACGCTTTGACTCGTCTTTCAGCGTCTGGAACCAACGCACATCTGGCAGCCTTTAGCAACATTGTTCAACACTAAAAGTACTGCTATGGATAACAGTAAAGTGAACAGTGTTCATTTTCCTTTTAGTGACGTTACTTAGCTTACGTGATTTAACTCCCGAAAGTAACGTGGATATTTTAACCCAAACCATGATCTTTTCCTAAACCTAACTGAGTAGCTTTGGTGCCTAAACCCAACCAAATGCAACGTTTTACAAAGTAAACCACTAGTTTTATTTTGAAAGTCTAACCAGATACCCCTGGAGTGGACGGTCCTTGCCATATATATATTTTTGCTAACTTCACCTCGGAGCCCTACACGTACAAAAATGATACTCCAGGGTACCCAGGGCGTTAAAAAGCCACACCAAGGAGTCCTGACCAAGTTTGGGACTAATGCTGTCATGGTCATCATTTTAAATTATAGTGAAAGAAGATTTGATCTACATCACGCTCTCCTACTGGAGCTACACGTGTAGGAAGCAGTTTAATATTGTAGCTGATTTCTTTTTTAACCACTTTATATAATGTATATATATATATATATATACGGTAGTTAATCTGTAAATATGAATCTAAACTGATTTAGTAACCCATAACTCCTGTCAGTTAAATGTAGTGCAGTAAAAAGTACAAGTAGAAAGTACATGTTATTCTCCACCTCTGGCTGCTGAGTCATGTTGAAAGTGAACAGAAAGGTTTCCGGTTCGTCAGATCTTCGTTGTGATGTTTAAACTCGTTAGACTGTCAGAGCATTTCCACACAGGTCTGAACAGGGATTTACCTTCTGCATTGTTTTGGGACAGAGTCTCCACCAGGTCGTTCCTGTTGATGCTCCTTAGAAATGTTATGGTCACATTTACCGCCTCCTGGGGGAAGTGCTGCACCATCAGGTCCACTGTCCGATACCGGTCTGCTGGCTCCAACTGGCATTTTGGAATCGCTGTGTTTTCAAGATGCCACTTGAAACCCCTAAATTCTTCATCTCCCAAACTTTGCAAAGTTTTTAAAAGCAGCATTCTAACATGAGCCCTCTGTTGTCCCCTGTAACATCAGAGCACACTTTCAGTTCGACTCAACCCAGACATGTCTTTGTTTTTTAAGATTAAAAGCTGCTGTGCAGATATTTGCTGTGTGCTGAAAACAACGGTGAACTAATCATTCAACTTCAGCTAATTCACGATTTTTGTGGAAGCTGCTTGAAATGTTTTACAGTCTGGCTTTTTGTGCCGCCACACCTGCAAATGCAGGGAGTTCAGACTGAGAGTGGGAGAGACAGAAACTCATTGTCTGGGTTCTCTGCTGTCTTACAGGCTACACAGCTAACAATGTGCTTTACAACAATCAGTACAAACACACAAACCGGTCAAAATGAAATAAAGATAAAATAGGCATTTCAAAGTAAAAGCTTTCTTATAAAAATGAGTCTTAAGAAGTCTGATCTCTTACGGTAGACAAAAAAGACCCCGTCTCGTTTTAGCCCAGACGTTGGAACAAGAAATGCCTTTGCTTTCAGTTTTTTAAATAACTTTCCCATTTCCTCAAGTGAATGAAAATTTTACAGAGCAGCCGCAGGACGTCAGGAGGAGGAAGAGAAAAGAGAAAGAGACAAAAAACAAATGATAAAGATCTTTAAAACACTCACTGATTCGCAGCCATGTCTCCGTCCTGTGTCTGAAAACCTGTCCGAAAGATCTGATGCAAGAGGAAGAGGAAGAGCTGCTGCTGCGTTTACTGGAAACTCAGCGGTGTCTGTGTGTGTAATCATCTCGTTCATCCTGCCTGAACTGTTTGAGGGTTTGAGTTCCACAGTGTGAAGTCACTCCGTCCTCTACATGTTGTGTTGTTGTTAGAGAGCAGTTAAATCTTTGGAGGCTAACATGTGGTGCAGCTGGTGGATGGACTTCAGACCTTCATGTTCAGGATGAACAGCGCCATCATCAGGCCAACAACCGACCCCAACCGGTCGAGGCAGATGGCCGCCCACCCTGAGCCATGGTTCTGCTCAAGGTTTCTGCCTCTGTCTCCTAGTGCTGCTCTTGGTGGGAACTGTTGGGCTTCTGTAAATAACATCATAGTTCGGTCTAGACCTGCTCTTTTATGAAAAGCGCTGTGAGATAACTGTTGTTGTGATTTGGCGCTATATAAATAAAATTGAATTGAATTGAATGCTTGCAACAAACTTTAAGTTTGGAAACAACAAATAAGGGAATTGAGAAGCTCCTACGGAGTCTTTCAGTCCTGCAGACTGTGGTAGAGTTGAAAAGGCGGTCTGAGGGCGATCGCTCGAACTCCCCCTGCAGTCCAACATAGCATCAGCCCTCTGAAGGAGCTGCCTGTTATAAATGTCTGAGAGCCTGGCATGACCCCCCCTGTTTGAACTGTCTGCTCACTTTGGGCAGAATGTCGTTAATGAAAGGTGCTGCATGAATGAAGATTAACAATATTATTGTTATTGCGTTAGCTTAATGTGATATTTGACTATGATGGATCATTAATTAAAATCAATAATAACTAATCTTTTTAAAACTGCATTTCATTTATAAAAGCTGCTTTATAAATAAACTTTACTGCTGCTACTGTTTCTGAGATGATTCATCTAGACATTATGAAAAGCTGTTTAAATAAATGTTGTTTCTTGGTTTTGTATTTATTTCTTCTTTATTTAATTCTTCTTTATCATTACCTCTGTGAAGGAGGTCATGTTTTCTGAGACGTTTGTTTATTTGTCTGCAGAAAAACTTCAGGCAGGTTGCAGAACAGACCGGGGAGGAACCCTCATAATCTGTTCCTTCCTCTTACCAAATTAAAGGTCGCTCGCTGTGACCAGTTTAATGCCTTTGAGCTTTATGTGCCGCATTATGCATTCATGTGTGGGGCTCAGGGAAGATGCAGCACCTGCTGAGTGCAGCCAGAGGGCGTAGCTGGGCTTCACAGTGAGAGCAGTAGGTCTGAGTGTCTTCTACTGTCAAAGAGGAAGTAAATCAAGTTGGGGGAGGACAGGCTGAGACTGGCAGGTCAGGGAGGGGCGGGCCACAGAGAGAGAGAGAGAGAGGAACCTGTTTCTGAGATTTGGACTCGCCCCTTCAGGAATAGAAGAGCAAAAAAAAACACAAAGAGCAGGATGGTTGGATCTGACTTTTACTGCCGGTAAAACACAACTATATGTCTGTCTGTCTATATTATATATCTGTTTATGTATCTGTATATCTGTCTGTGTCTGTGGAGGTGATTCTATTGGAGTTGCAGTTGAAACTTTTTCACATTGTTTTCCTTCCGTTTGATTTTGAGGGATTGATTTTGTCTGTTTCCTCACTTTTTAACTTTGATCTGGTTTGGAATTAGAAAAGTTTTTAACAATGTGAAAATCCTACGTTACGGGGACGCCAGCATGTTCCTACGTTATGGGGACTCTGTTTGATTTCAGGGTTAAGGCTGGACTTTGGGGTTGTGTGTGTGTTAATGGTTGGCAGGTATGTGTCACCGGGTGTGTTTAGCTCAGCACTGTGTCCTGACTGCAGACTGTACACTAAAAGTCAGCAGGAGTCTGAATGCGAATGAAACAGCTGCAGAAAAATGTTGGAAAAGAGCTACAAAGAAAGTCTCAAGACATTTTGTTTTCTCTTTCTGACGTTTTTATTTGTTTAAATTGCTTTATATTCTCCTGAGTAGCTTGTGAATTTCCTATCTCGGGATATATAAACTCAAAGTAATATCATCATTTATTTGCTGATTCAATTTTGTAATCTTAATCTGAATCTGTAACGTCACTTCTGTTATCGAATAACTTTAGTGGAGTGACAAATAAAATGTAGTGACACAGCAGTTTAACTTGCAAAAACAAACTAAAACCATGTTCCCTATGCACACACTTCAAAACTGAAATGTAAACATTCAGTCACATGTAGCACATATATTACAAAATGAACAGAAACATTTGCTAATTTATATTCAGTGGATAAAAACCAGGACTTTCTCGTTTTAAGTCATCAGTCGAAAAATATCCCAAAATATGTTAATATCTTGATGAATGGTTAAAAAGGAGTTAGATTGTCAGCTAGTATTGAACTTTTATTTTAACACTTTATTTAAATAATACCTTCTTCTTTTAACACATTTCCTCTTTTACTTGTTAGTAATCAAAAACATTTTAGATAACAAAACTGATGATTCTACCCAGTTCTAACTAATATCTTACAAATTCCAATATAATATAAAGGGATGTTTTCATAATCCTAATAAGGTATAAACATTACACAATATATACATATATTATGTTGAATATATGAATATTTCTGCTTCATATTAGCACAAACTGGTCTGCGTATGTAAACATCAGTATTAAAGTTTAGTTATATAATAATATTTATTTGATTTTTTATCATCATATGTCATATCGCACACATCTAAATATTAATGTATGGGCATATTTTTTGGTTCAAGCAAAAGATAGAGATTTTATGAGAATGTGAAAACCTGATATTAGATTAAAATATCTGCGAAGGTATGTTTTATTTTATTTATCATCTACTGTAATAGTGAATATTTTCTGTGAAGCTATAATAACAGCTGCTTTTAAAAATAAAATATGTAACAGCTTTTGAAAACATGCATAACCAAAAAGAAAGATGATATAGTAGCATACTGGATCATTTATGTCCTGCGCCTTCAGTTTAAATCGTGTGTGTGGGTTTATTTGCTGAAAGATTTGTGCTTATATACGAGACTTACTGGTTCTAAATGAGAAAAAGCAGCTGTGCAGCTCTGGTCGTGCTTAAAGTTTCATTATTTAAGGATTACAAAAAATCTGAAACTATTATTTAGTGAAAACAGAGTGTAATGAACACTCCTTATTTGACTATTACACGCGTTATTTAGCTGTTTCCAGTTAGGCTGAATGCTATTTCAGTCATAAAACTTTATCCTGATTCAGAATATCCACTCACACTTTGCCTTTTCCAGGTTCCAAACCTGGAATTAAATGATTTTTAGAGTGAGGCCACTTTGGCCTTTTGATAAATACTAATTTATTGGGGCATTGCAGCCAAAATATATGACACTAGTTAATAATAAAACTGTTGACTGAATCCAGCACATCATGTTTTATTAGTAGTTTACAGTAGTTTAAAAACACACAAAAGGACAACTGTTTTCTGCCATTAGATACTGGATACAATTAGCTGATAATTAGCCTCAATACAAACACACATCAATAGGCTGTAAACCATTAATCAAACCAATATTAACGTCAGACAACCTTTTCACACAGCAGTTAGTGGTGACAAAATGTTAAGACACATACTTCATCAGCAGTTTGAGTTAAACAGAAACACTGCGCTTTACGCAGAACTCCCTTTAAGAAATCTAACAAATGAATTTTTCCTTACATCTACACAAAAACACATAACGTAAGAAACACCATATAAAAGGTGCCCATATCTTCTTGTCATTATAATGCTCAAACTGCAGTTGGCGCCCAACTATTCGCATGTTTAATTTAAGATTTAGTTATTTTAGTAACATGTGTCATGTTACAGAACACGTCGACGACACACTGCTGTTTGTGTCTGCAGATTTTAACAGCTGTGGATGTTCCTGCAGACGTCCTGGTCTTCGGTAGAAAGGTCAGGTGGTTATTTAGTGCACCCAGCGTCACCTTCATCTGCATCATCACCCTAAACAAACTGTTAACTGCAGACAGCCAATCAGAGAGCAGGATTCCCTGCAGTTGTGGTTAATTTCATTTAGAGACTGAATGCTGTGGGAGTTCTGGAGCAGTTTTAATGGTCCGTTAAGTTCTAAGAGTCCTTGAGGGGGTTGTGTAGGTAACTGAGTTGGGCCTTCAACAGGTCATACAGGTCCTTGAGCAGGTTTTAGGGCCCTTTCCAAGGTCCTTGGACAACTTGTTTAGGACCATTAGTGATTTCTGAAGTCCACCAACAGGTCAGACAGGTCCTTGAAGATGCTGTAAAGGTTCTTGAGGAGGTTCTAAAGTCATTGATTAGGATATAGAGGGCCTTGGGTAGGGGTAGATTTCCTTGAAAAGAGTGTTATGGTCTTTGAGGAGCTTGTCAATATCCACAAGTACGTTGTTGAGGTTAGGGAGGTTTTAAAGTTCCCTTGAGCAGGTTTTAGAGTTTCTCAAGGAGGTTTTAGAAGTCTTGAGGAGACTGTTAAGGGCCTTGAGCAGGTTGTAGAGACATTTGAAAAGTTTCTAGTAGTACCTAAGAATACTTATGGGTCCTTAAACTGTTGACCTGAGCTGTTTTGATACCTGACAGCTGACAGCCAATCAGAGAGCAGGATTTGTGGCATAAACAATGTTTGAGTGTCTGAACATTCCTGTAAAAGTTCTGGTTTGTTGAAGCCTTGAGGAGGCGGAGTCAGCTGACGGCTGATTTACACTCAGTTATTTCTGTCTGTGTGTGTGAGTTTGTGTTTCTGTGTGTGTACTTCTGACTGTAGCCACACCCTCTCGCTCACTGAGGCTAAAGGTTGAAACCACCTCAGGCCTGCTAGAAAACAAACCCCGTTATTGGCTCCTGGGTTTATGACATCACATGATACCTGACACCTGATAGGTGTTATTGATCCTCTCAGGCCGATTCTGGGTATTCTGCTGAACGTCTCCCTTAAATTCTTCGTCTCTTCTGATTGGCCGACGGGGCGTGCCCTGCCACAAACCCTCAACTTCGACTTAATGATTGACAGCTTTCTCGCTTCACTTTCCCACACACACACACACACAGAGTCCTGTGGTCGAACAGAGGGGTGTGTGTTACATTCTTGGTGGGATGGGTGTGGTAGAGAGACAGAGACAAACAGGGGGGGGGGGGGGGGGTTTGGGGGGGGGGGTCGGCTGCATTCCAGCAGATTCTCTCACACACCTGAAAACACCTGAGGCAGGTGTGTGGACCTCAGAGCAGGTTTGACTGTTTACCTCCATGGAGACTCTTAAAGGGCCAGTCAGTGATTCCTGCAGCAGATTCAATTTAGTAAAACTTTATTTATCTGTCCAAAGGCTGCAAACAGGAAATAAAAACCAAACAAAGCTTAAATCAACAAGAGGAAATTAACTTTAAAACTGTCTGTTAAATTATTGATTGGTACGTTTATTAAATATCTACATACACATGGTTTGAATTAGGGTGTGTGGCGGTGGGGGTTGGGTTTGACCCCTTAATTAAGACTTGGCCCCTATGGAGTCTTTCTTTCATGAAATTGTAAATATTACAACATATTTCCCATGTTTATACCTCAAGAATCTTGAAATATGATTTCAGACACCCCTATAATGGACTGTACCATTTCCAGTTAGTTGAACGTCCAGTGCATCAAACGCTAATGTAAATTTTTGTCTTTGTGACCACTCAAAGCATCACATTCACCATTCACACACATTCATACACTGGTGGAACAGCCAGGAACAACACCTCCTGAACCACAGCTACCCCATGCCGCTAATGTAAAGTTAGCTAGTTAGACCTTAACTTTCCGACTTTCAGAGTTTAGTAATTAGCATTTCTTTTACTTAAACTTAGCCATCTGACTTTAGCTGACGGCTGCCCTATCATGTCCAGCTTTGGCCTGGCATTTCCTTACTATGTTAAAATGTTAGCTAACACTGCTGTGTAGGCATGAGCAGAGAATGAGGATTAGTAATTGTAGAGACACATTTTGACATAAATTTAGAGTTCATTATTTTCTTTTTACAATAAGCATGGCTTTTGTTTTCACTCTGGAATTCAGGAGGTCAATTAGAGGGAACAGTATGGCTATGGCGGCCTTGAGGCTTGCCACAGTACCTGTCTGTCTCGTTAATTTTTGCGTTATTTGTTTGTGAGGTTTCGTGCTTGATCCAGCACACTCGCTCAGAGCTCTTAAACCTCAGATACACTTCTCATAGTGATCTGGGTCCATCCAAGTCCCTGCTGGAGAAATTACGGGAACTAAACATATAGAGCCTTTCAACATCATGGCTGCCGATCAAAAAAAGCCGCCACTCAGGAACCTTTGCTAGGTTCAGGAGATGCCCTTATCGGCCTCTGCTTCCAGCCCTCTTGTTGTCAAACGTGAGATCTCTTCAGCACAAAATGGACGAACTTCAACTTCTTTTACAAACCAACAAAGACTACAGTGACTGCTCTGCC